AAATGAGAGGCTCTTGCCAAACTGACTGAGCTGGGTCCTTGTTAGGGATTTGGCAAGGAAGTGCACAGATGGTCCCAGGGGAACACCTGGTTCCTTGGTGACCATCCAGTCTTCAGTTTGCTGGAGCCCGGGATGCATTTTGATGCTCTGCCCTCTGCATGGCCACCTCATTTGCAGAAAGGAGCTGCCTTCGGGAATCAGCCACACACAGGAGGGAAAGGACTGTTGGCACCAAAGTGCTAAAAGGGCTGGCTGCACTCCTAATGGGCACATGTCTTTATTTAATTACCACATGCCACACTTAGCCTAATGTGTCTGGTCATCAGGGATTAAATCACGCATGTTCGCACACACGCACACGTGCATGTGAACTCATTTTGTGTTTCAAAAGACAGGCTTGGTGTAATCTTATCCAGGATACCCAGGACCAGGCCGAGGTGCAGAGGCTGGTGGGATGGGGACACAATTCTACTTGACCTTGACCTTGACCTAGAGAAGCTAATGAAGAGTAGTCAGGCCCAGGAACAACCTTTGGAGAAGCCAAGCAAAAAAACCTTCTTGCTTTCCATGATTTCTCATGCCAGTGACTTTTCACAGGCCCTATTTTTGTGCTAATTATCTCAACTTATATTTTGTTTCTCTGATAGCTTGTTTCCTCAACATCCTTTTTAAAAATAATTTTTATTCAATTATAGTTGATGTACAATATATTAGTTTCAGGTGTACAGCATAGTGGTTAGACACTTACATAACTTACGAAGTGATCCCCTCAATATGTCTAGTCCCCACCTGACGCCATACATAGTTATTCTATATTATTGACTGTATTCCTTATGCTGTACTTATATCCCCATGACTATTTTGTAGCTGCCAATTTGTTCATCCCTTTCACCATCCCCCCATCCTTTCCCCTCTGCATGCTTTCATGCTGTTCTCATAGCACACCACCTCATTGCCCCCACCCCAGACTGCTGAGTGACATGGATGGATTAATCAGGGGTCCATTGGTGAGGCCGCTCCTAAACCATGGCTTTATAAATGTCCTTTAAGGTGGCGGGGATGAATTTTGATTCTTAAATTTATGAGTGTACTCTGGAACCAGGGTTAAAGGCTCAGAAAAACAGAGGCTGGGTTAGAATCCTGGGCATCACAGATGTGAAAATGTAACATGCCACAGAAATAAGTAATCAAGTTAATTCTCATCAGAACTCCAGCCATGGCCATTTTAAGTCATCCGTCATTCACAGACAGTGATTGTTAGACTTTTCTATTCTTCAGAAAGTGTTTATAAGCAGCTAGTCACAAGTGCCCTGTGATGGCCTCATGGTCACTTTGAGACCGTGTTGCTAGACTGATTAAGAATTTGCAGAAATAGGGCCGGCTGATTGGTGTGTTGATTAAGAGCTGGCTTGGGACGCCAGAGGGCCCTGGTTCAGATCCCACATATGAGGGCCAGTGACACTGCCCTCTACAGCTAAGATGCTGAACAACAGCTCAACCTGGAGCTGGGCTGCCGTGAGTCGCTGGCGACAACGTAGGCTGCAGCCCCTGCTGCAGTGGATTGCCATGTGTAGCCAGCAGCCAGCATGGGCTACCGTGTGTAGCCAGCAGCCAGCATGAGCGGCCATCAGCCACTGTGAGCAGCTGTCCAGAAGCCGGCGACTGATGTGCCTCGCCTGGGTAGAGTGCAATCATGGTGCCAACTTGGGCCTGTGAAGCAATGTCCTCCATAGCTAGACTGAAGAACAAAAGGATAGCAACTTGTCTGTTCCCCTTTCCCCAATTCCCCAATAAAAATATTTTAAAAAAAAGAATTTGCAGAAATAATGAAGAAGCTAATAGATTCATAAAACCACTAACCCAAGATCCTGCAGAATAATTAATTATCTGAGCCTCAAAGAACTCATGAGAACCACTGTGATTTTTGATGCATTTTTTTAATGTTTGTTTTCAGGATTAAAGGAAATCTTTTCCCTTTAAGCTGTTTGTAACTTACAGAAATTTGAACAAAGATGCCACAATTACTTTTTCTTTCTATCTGATCTTCCAGAATTGAAAACTCTTAATGTATATTCTTATTTTTTATGTGGATATGAAGGTCTGACAATTAAGTTTGCAAACTTGTTGCAATGATGTTGCTAACATTTTTTGATATCAGCAGGATTATTCATTATGAATTTGTACCAACTGGACAAACAGTGAACCAAGTTTACTATTTGGAAGTGCTGAAAAGGCTGTGTAAAAAAGTTAGACAACCTCAACTTTTCGCCAACAATTCATGGCTCCTGCATCACAACAATGCACCAGCTCACACGGCACTCTGTGAGGGAGTTTTTAGCCAGTAAACAAATAACTGTATTGGAACACCCTCCCTACTCACCTGATCTGACCCCCATGACTTCTTTCTTTACCCGAAGATAAAGGAAATATTGAAAGGAAGACATTTTGATGGCATTCAGGACATTGAGGGTAATACAATGACAGCTCTGATGGCCATTCCAGAAAGAGTGCCAAAGTTGCTTTGAAGGGTGGACTAGGTGCTGGCATCGGTGCATAGCTTCCCAAGGGGAGTACTTTGAAGGTGACCTTAGTGACATTCAGCAATGAGGTATGTAGCGCTTTTTCTAGGATGAGTTCATGAACTTAATTGTCAGACCTCATATAATTATTTGCACAAGTTCAATAAGAATCTGTTCTCCTTGTCACAGGATGACATTGGTTGTTACCAAGGCTTTGACTGGAATGTTATTTTGAGAATGAGGTGAATTACTTATGACCAGAAGACTTTAAGAAACTTTGGTCGACTTTAAGGAGCCAATGCTTATAAACCCCCTTATGGAAAAAACAGCCTGACCTCACTTATATGTGGAATCTAAAGAACAAAATAAACAAACAAAGCAGAAATAGACTCATAGACACAGAAGAAACTGATGGGAGGCGGGTTGGAGGACTGTGTGAAAAAAGGGAAGGGATTAAGAAGTACAAATTGGCAGTTACAAAATAGTCACGGGATGTAAAGTACAGCATAAGGAATATAGTCAATAAAATGCTAAGAACTGTGTATGGTGCCAGGTGGGTACTAGACTTATCGGGGAGATCACTTTGTAAATTATATAAATGTTTAACCACTATGCTGTGCACCAGAAATTAATATAAAATAACCCTAAATGTCAACTTTAATTGAAAAATTTTTAAAAGGGGGGAATAAAGTAAAGGGGAATAGAGATTCAAATCTCCAGGTATAAGACAAAAAAGTCATGGGGATGTAATGTATAGCATAGGGAGTATAGTCAGTAAAATTGTGACAGCATGGTACAGTAATAGTGTGTTAGATGGTTGCTGGACTTATCATGTGATCACTTCTTTAGGTCTATAAATGTTGAATAACTATGGTGTACCCCTGAAACTAATATAATATTGTATGTTATTTATATTTTAATAAAAATCTTTAAAAAATGAAAAAACCAGCCAGTATTTGTCTTCTAGGGTTTACCACCTTACAGGTCAGAAAGGAAGTTCACTTTCTGGCATATGTAGGGATGTTAGGATAGTCTGGGGATCCTTAAAAGAGAGAAATTAATCCAAATCTATAAGTTTTGCAGGCAAATTCTAGTAGCACTTTCTTGGCATGGCTTCCTGGAGAAGCTTTGAAAAGTCCAACCTGAGATCCCGTATGAAAAGTGCCAGCAAAGCAAACTCGAGAGACCCATGAAGTCATTCTTCTTGCTGCACTTATGTAAATAATCAGATCAAGTTTAATAAGACTAGATTGATTTTGAAAACACTTAGTCTTTGATTCTCTCTGATGGAATGGTGGTGTGTGTGGAAAAAACAGCTCTTTTTCAGTGGGAAACTGTTATATACCCTTGTAGATTCCACCTTGCAAATTTTGCTCATCCTTGCCAAAGCCTGCATTTTTCTACTTTCCTCCAATAACTGGCTACAACTCTTCAAAGTCATGTTTCTACTTTTTCTCTCTTCTGCCTAGGAATCATTAGGTGCTAAAATTGCCCTTTCCATGAAGGCCGGAAAGCAGAAGCTTGAGTACATGATATAAACACACTACATATGGACGCACTGTGTGCCTGCTGCTGTGTGTGCCCCTCAGGAAGGTGACATAAAAACCCAATGCCACCAAAGGGGAAAAAAAACCAGTGCCGTCATCCCGATGTTAAAACTGCCAACCAGGAAATCCAGTGGATTGTCACTGCATCCACACCCAGTATCCAAAAATGTTTTGAGCCCTCATACACTGCTGGTGGCAATGCAGATTGGTGCAGTCGCTATGCAAGGCAGTGTGGGGGTTCCTCAAAAAATTAAGAATAGAATTACCATATGACTCAGTAATCTCTCTCCTGGGTATCTATCCAAAAAATCTGAAAACCTTTATCTGTAAAGATATATGTGCTCTGATGTTCATTGTAGCTTTATTTATGGTGGCCAAGACATGGAAACAACCAAAGTGTCCTTCAATAGATGATCGGATAAAGAAGATGTGGATTATATACACAATGAAATACTATTCTGCCATAAGAAAAGATGAAATAGTGCCATTTGTGACAACATGGATGAATCTTGAGATTATTATTCTAAGCAAAATAAGTCAGACAGAAAAAGTCAAGAACCATATGATTTCACTGATATGTGGGATATAAAGCTGAAAAAAACAAAGGAACAAGACAAATGAAGAAACAAAAATTCATAGACACAGACAATAGTTTAGTGGTTACCAGAGGGTAAGCGGGGAGAGGGGTGGTAGTTGAGGGTAAAATGGGTCAAATACATGGTGAGGGAAGGAGAACTGACTCTGGGTGGTGAGCACACAATGTGATATATAGATGAAATATTACAGAATTTTACCCTTGAAACCTATGTAACTTTACTAACAATTGTCACCCCAATAAACTTGAATTAAAAAAAAAAAGAAATCTTTACACAGGATGCCCTATGAAATCGGAAACTGGGTTTTAGCTTTAAACTGTCTTCTTGTATTTTCATAGGAAAAGTCCCTCATTCAAGGCCAGACAGCTTGTACCATACAACATACCCTCTACGACCAAGTCTCAACGTGTGACTCAACAGGTCCTGAATGAAAAAATTTTGACCTTAACGAGAAGTGGACTTGTTGTTATAAGGAAAGAAGAACGTCTCTTCTTTCTACACATTAGGAGGAACAGACAAGACTCTGCTTGACCAAACTTCAGTCAGGCTTTGGATGTTCTCCTAGGCCCATCTGTGCCCTTCTTCGTAAAATCCTCAGGAAGATCCTGTTGCTCAGCACCCCCAGTTCCCCCCACCCCTCCATATCTCATCTCCCTCGATATCTAACTAGGCTTCCACTTCTCCATCATCCATCAGCAGGATTCCTGTAGGTCAGTTCATCCCAAATCCTCTTACACTCCATGTTTCCTCCTCGTAATTTCCCACTCACTGAACCACCCCAGGCTTCCTGGCTATAAATTCCTGCTTGTTCATGCTGCAATCAAAATTGAGCCCAGTTTGATACTGAAGAATCTTCTCTTCCATAGTCCACAATTAATTGTTTTTACCACTTGAGCTGGTGTCTGGCTGTGGCTGTCTCTGACAGTTGTCAGAGTCGGTCACCATAGTCAGCACCCAAACTTCCTTGCTTGCACGTCGATTCAGGCACGAGGTGCACGCTGTAACCAGGTGGCAGTCCTAACTTCCATTGAGGGGAATTACTGTTTCGTCTCTTGATGGAGGCATTTCTTCTTTTGGAACTAAGACTTCTAATTCAGTAGAACGCAAAGTCATCAGAACAGAAGGCAAAATTCTGCTACTCTGTCACCATGGGTGATGGTATGTGGTGCCTCTCCCATCTCCCCCAGATTCCTGGATCACCACTTCTCCCTGCGGGAGAAACAGCACCATGTATTGGGTTAGATTAAGAGTGCATGGCCTCCTGGAAAATCGTGCCGCAGCCCTGCAACCTGTCACCGCCTTATGGCTCTCGAACATCTAATAAATACCCTTCTATGTTCTGTCAACCCAGCTGCTTCACGATGGCTGAGAATGTGGTGAGACCAGTGGATGCCATGAGCATGGGCCCATTGCCACCTTTCTTTTGGGAAGTGAGGGTCTTAGACCCGAGCCAAGCTGAGTGGGACACCGTGACGGTGGGTAAGGCGCCTTCAGACGCATGGATGGGCATTTTGGCAGAAGCATTGCATGCAGGTAAGACACATCTGTATTCAGAGCATACGTGTGTGTAGCCCAGTAAGGACAAAATGCTGACACGCATGTGATGTAATCAGCCTGTCGCTAGGTAGCTAGCTGGCCGATCACCCCAGGGAATGGTGCCGTTTCCTATACTTGGTGTTCCTGATGGCTGCTGGCAGATTGCCACCTCTGCCTCAGTGAGGCAAAGTCCCTGTTTCTGAGCCCGTGCAAAACCTCCATCTCTGTCACCAGGGCCACTTTAATCATGGGCCATTGGCAATGGCAGGGATGGCTGGGGACAGAGGCCGACTGGTCTCCATAGAATGTGTCACTTTATCCACTTGAAGGTGGAATTTGTCCTCTGTGAAGGTCACCCTTAGGTGGGCATTGACATGGGACACACATATCTTCATGATTTTTGCCCAGCGAGAGAGGTGTCCCCACATCTTCCCCAGTGCACATCACCCATTTCCCATCATGCTTCTCTCACGCCCCTAAGCATGCCGCCTGACTGCTGGCATGGCCTGTGGTCATGGTACCATGCCAGGCCTGTGCCCTTCTGAGCAGTACGAACAAACGCTGCACAGAGATTGGCCCCCTAGGAGGGTCTTTCTCCATCACTGTCCTGGGGGACTGCCCAGAGAAGGGGTGCAGTGCTGTGCAGGCCCAGTCTCAGATGGTGCCAGCATATGTACCGTGAAGGGTAACTATGAACCAGGGCAAGCCTCTCCTTTCTCTGCCACCTGCTCTTCAGAAGCTTCCCATGAGGTTTTAGGTGCAGGCTCAGAGAGGGAACGTGGACAGGCAGGGGTGGAGACTTGGGGCTTACGACACTCCTTCCGGTCACTTCAGGTGACTTCATAGCCTGTCCAGGCCCAGGCACATATTTACAGCTTCCAGTTCATGATGGAGTCCAGCTGTGCGCGCTCATGGGTGCTCAGGGAACACCCAGCTCATGATGGGCAGCTCAAGTCACGTGGTGACCTCGTGGCTCGTGGTCAACCTTCTCTGCTGAGGCCCAGTAGCAGGCCAGTGTTTGTTCCAAAAGGAGAAAAAATTATCTGCAAAGTGTAGCAGGGCCTTGCTCCACATTTCTAAGAGCCTGCACCCTGGGTCTCTTAAAAGGGGCTGCCAAGACCCCAAACAGCACCTTACCTGTCAGTGTAATTTCTTGTCCCTTTCGGTGTGTGGAAGTTTGGGGCCCACGTGGCAGAGTAGTTTGCTCAGGAGCCTGGACCTATTGCAAAGCCGTCTCTCCTTCTTGGCCGCACTCAAAAGGGGCAGCTTCTCAGGTCCATGGATAAATGGGTCAGAATAACCCTCCTAAATGAGGAATATTTTTCTTCCCAAACCCAGAGGGGCCCACTAGCTGATGTGTCTCTTTTTTGGTGGCGGGAGGGGCCAGGTGCTACATTCATCTTTACATTCAGAAGGGTACCCAGACAATCCCCACACCACTGGACTCCTAGCATTCCCACTGAGGGTGCAGGCCTATGAGTTTTCATAGGGTTTCCTCCATGCCCTGACACACAGATGCCTTACCGATAAGCATGGGGAAGTTGCAATTGTTGCTCAGTAGGTTCTCTCGGCATCAGTGTATTAATGGAATGACCAGTGTGATATCTCCTGGGAGACATTGGCAGTCCACATCCCTGCAAAACAGCATTGACGCATAGGGCTGGAGAGCTCACGTACCAGTGTGTGGGGACTGTGAAATGTGTGGCGGGCCTTGCCTGAAATGAAAAAGCTTCTTGTGGGCCTTATGGACATGCTTAGCAGAAAAGGCATTTTCTGGATTAATAGCTGCATCCTGGGTCGTTGGGGTGAGAGAGTTTGCTCAAACAATGAACTACCTCTGGTACAGCAGCTGCCCCTGGAGTCACCACTCAGTTAAGCTGGCGATAATTCATTATCTTTCTCCCAGATACATCTGTCTTCTATGCAGGCCAAAAACAGGAGACCTGGAAAGGGGGATGGTGGGAATCACCACCCCAGCATTTAACAATACGTGAGAGTAGCACTAACCCCCACAATCCCTCCAGGGGTGTTGTATTGCTTCTGACTTACTGTTTTCCTCGCTATCGTCAATTTTGATGGCTTCCATTTGGCCTTTCCCACCATAACAGCCCTCACTGCATAGGTTACATCCATAGGGCTTATTTATTTTCTAACTGGAAGAGTGTATCTTTTTATCTCATTCACCCATTTCTCCTCCCACCCCACCTCTGGCAACAACCAATCTGTTTTCTTATCTGTGAACTTGGTAGGTTTTGTTTTTGTTTTGGATTTCACATATCAGTGAGATCATATAGCATTTGTCTTTCTCTGCCTGACTTACTTCGCTCAGCACAATACCCATGAGGTCCATCCATGTTGTCACAAATGGAACTATTTCATTTTTTATGGCTGAATAATATTCATGTGTATATATGTCACATTTTCTTTATCCAGTCATCTGTCAATGTACGCTTAAGTTGTTTCCATATTTTGGCTATTGTGTTTTTGTTTTATTTGTGATTTTTTGAGGAACCTCCATACTGTTTTCTGTAGTGGCTGGTCCAATTTACAATCCCACCAAGAGTGCACGAGGGCTGTCTTTTCTCCACATCCTCCCCAGCACTTGTTATTTTTTATCTTTTTGGCAAGAATGGTGTGAGGTGTTATCTTATTGTAGTTTTGATTTGAATTTTTCTGATGATTAGTGATATTGAGCACTTTTTCATGTACCTGTTAGCTATCTGTATGTCCTCCTTGGAAAAATTTCTATGTAGGCCCTCTGCTCACTTTTTAATCGGATTTATCATTGTTGTTAAGTTGTATGAGTCTTTTATAGACAGTCACGCACCACGTAACGATGTTTTGGTCAACAATGGACAGCATATTTGATGGTGGTCCCATAAGATTATAATGGAGCTGAAATTTTTCTATCACCTGGTGATGTTGTAGCCATGATAATGTTACAGGAGTCTTAGGTCTTCCTGCTGACACAGTGAAGAATCAAAGGTCAGCAGGCTGATTAATATGTAAGCAGCATTTATTAGTGATACATTCTCAGGGAAGAGAATGGGCCTAGCCGAGGTGGGGGAGGGAGAGAGGGGGGGGAGAAGGAGAAGCAGAGAGAGAGGGAGGGAAAGGGGGAGATAGTGAGGACCAGAGAGAGAGAGAGAGCCCTTGTCCCAAGGACTTATAGTTTGCTGGGTGGGTGAGAGAGTTACATATTGACTTGGTGGGAAAAGGAGGTACATGCTCTTCCATGGGAGAGCACGGTCTCCTAAGATGGGTGGAGTCTGTTGACTCAGATCCTTATCTTGCTCCAGACCACCTCTTGTCACCTGTTGCTGGAGGCAGTTAATCAAAGCTAGTTATGAGCTTTTTCTGTTGGCACTATGGACCTCCTCCCATCCCTCCTCCTCCTCCATTTTCTGACTTCTACCTAACAATAACATCATAACACAATACATTCCTTACGTGTGTGGTGACGCTGGTGTAAACACACCTACTGTGCTACCAGTTGTCTAAAAGCACAGTACATACAGTTATGTACAGTGCATCGTACTTGATGATAATAAATAACTATGTTGCTGGTTTAGGTATTTACTAGAATATACTTTTTATTTTATTTTATGGTATACTCTTCCTACTTGTAAAAAGTGTTTGCTGTAAAACAGTGTGTTGTGTTACACAGACAGCATCCTCACAGGTCTGTGTTTACATCTCTCCATCGAATTCTTTTCCCTTGAGCCTGATTTAATCTCATTTTCTTTTGTTTATCATGGCCGCTAAACACACAAAATCTGCTAATCTAGCCAGTAAGAGGCCACATTGAGTAACTGGCCAGAAACAAAATTAAAAGTGATTAGAACTACAAAGTGAGGGTGGATCTCTTTACTCAGTCCACTGACTCAAGTGCTAATCCCTTCCAGAAACACCCTCAGACACATCCACAAAAAATGTCTGGACCTTCCTTATCCCAGTCAAGTTCACAGAAAATTACCATCATACATACAACTCCACCCTTTGTCAATAGGAGACCTATACCCATCACGTTGGCCATAGTTAATATTCAAATAAAGACAACACCAAGGTCATAATTCTGCCTAGAGTGATAGAAGTGTCCTCTATCCCGTGGAAAAAACACCATCATCTTTTCACCAGAAGAGAAAGGAAAGTCCTTGAGTAATGTTGACGCTTCTCCTAGATATACTATAAAAAATAGTATGTGGTACAATTAACAATATGTTTTAAAATAGGATACAAAGTTAACATATCTCATGTTGAATGGTAAGGGAAGAAGAGAGAATAGAAAACAAAGACATACACATATACATATTTATAACAAAATCAGGAGGAAATTCACATGATAATTACAGCCTCATTCAAACCTTCATTATTTTTCTTTAAATTAAAGTTCATTGGGGTGACAATGGTTAGTAAAGTTACTAGGTTTCAAGTGTACAATTCTGTACCACATCATCTATATATCACATTCTGTTCTCACCACCCAGAGTCAGTTCTCCTTCCATCACCATATATTTGATCCCTTTTACCCTCATCTACCACAAGCTCCCCTACTTCTGGTAATCCTCTGGTAACCACTAAACTATTGCCTGTGTCTATGAGTTTTTGTTTGTTTGTTTATTTGTGCTCTGATGTTCATTGCAGCCTTATTTACAGTGACCAAGACATGGAAACAACCAAAATGTCCTTCGATAGATAATTGGATAAAGAAGATGTGGTATATATACACAACGGGATACTACTCTGCCAAAAGAAAAGGTGAAATAGTGCCATTTGTGACAACATGGATGGATATTGAGATTATTATGCTAAGCGAAATAAGTCAGACAGAAAAACTCAAGAACCCTATGATTTCACTGGTATGTGGGATATAAAACAAACCTTCGTTCTTGAAGGCCCTGGGCCATAACTAGTCCTGTTTGGATTGGGTTGCAGTTTTCCACTGACCTTTTTTTTACAGAGCAGAGAAACCCTATGTATTCCAGACATAATCTCCCTTACCTCAATTAAGTGATTTTGTGCAGATTCCCTTTGGTAGTGTCATAGATTATTTGCATCACTAAACTTAAGTCAGGCTCCTGAACCTTCTCCTAAATGCATCTCTGCAGTTCCTTGAAAACCTGTAACATAAACCCTGCTAGTCAGTTTAGCAAATGTCTCCCTTCCTCTAGATCTGATCACCTTCTGTATCCAATCAGGTTTCTCCTCCACCATCCACCAGGTGGTGGCTTTTCAACCTGGCCCTGGTTCAGCAGGAACCTTGAATCCGGTTTTCCCAGAATCCCCCTTACCCTGGAGGTTGCCTCTGAATAACTTCCATTCACTGAACTCATCAGGCTTCATGGTTATAAATTCCTGCTTTGGTTGGAATTCAGCCCTATTCTATACCCAGATCACTTTTCTCCTATTGCAATCGATCTGAATAAAATCTATTTATCCCCTTTTCAAACTCTTGTAGTTTTAATGCCCTTGTATTTTTGGCAGCTAGAATTAAATAATTGAATTCTTAATTAGGCCTCTGTCCACAGTTTAATCACTCTGCCTGCTTACCTGCTTTTGTTCTCATGAATGTAGTCCTAAGTTACTGATGTGCCTCTTCGTCAAGCAGGAGGCGATAACTTCAGGGTTGAGGAGAATTTATGAGTTTGTTTTGCAGAGGGAAAGACTGTCCCCAAGGTAGCTTTGACCAGCTGCTAGCATCCAGGAGTCGGATGCAAAAAAGCATCCTCTGGGACTAAAGAAACACAGACTTCCTCTCATTTCCCTGGGACTCCACCTACTCTTACTCCCTGGCTGTGTAAAAACTTCCTACTTTTGCTTTCTGGGGAAAATCGAATTTTGCTTTTTGGCCAAATTGAATAAATCTTCCTCTGTCTCCAAGAACAGGTGTCTCAGAGTTTTGGCTTTACCTGTGCACTGGCCTCATGATCCTGGATTTGAGGAGGTGTTTCTGTAACACTCTTCATATTTTTCTCGGACAGTTATAATGCCATGACTCGGAATGATCCCTGGAGTCCCAGACCCCTCACCCAGGACCTGAAGTAGGAGCCTTGAAAAGCTGAATATCATGGGGATTCCACCAGGCATTCCACTGGGAAGTCCAGCTCCTAAACTGTTGGTCCAGACAAATGTCCTTGGGAGCTGAGAGGGACAAAGTTTGATTCATGAGGCTCTGAGTACGTTCTGGAAGCTGGGTTAAAGTTTCAGACAATCCCAGGGCGAGTTGGAACACAAGGTAGGCAGACTGGGCTACAGTCCCAAGTGCATCTGTTCAGGAAAATAGAGAAGCACCTGGCTGAAAACATGGCGCTGCTCAGCAGACTGGAAACCCGGTCTGAACCCAGCTCTGTCTGCTTCCTTTCCTGGTGGCATGATTTTCCTAAGGATCATTAGAAGTGCAGAGGCCTGTTTGGGGAACATGGCCTTCCCAGACTGGCTCCTCGGAGCCCCCTTCCTTCTCATCACCCTGTTCTCCTTCCTCCTTTTGCTGCTTTGAACCTTCCCTTGAATCCTTTGATAGTCTGCTGCAGGGGTTCAGAGCTAGTTGCCTCAACATGTGCCTTACTGTATGCAGATTGTTTTGAGCTAAGGGCAATTTTAGCTTCAGATTCAAGAGAAATTTCTGGCCCTCCCTTAACCACCTAGGAGAACTTGAATGAGGAACCTTGCCCATAATAAGAGATCACCAGCCATCATCTCTGTTTGACCCACCTATAGGGCAGGGCAAACTTTTACTCACTGAGCGTCTCTCTTCTCATCGTCCTGCAAAAACCCTTTCAAGCCCCCATGGCACCTTGCATCATCCCTAGCTCAGGAGGTTTTCTGCACCCATGTTACCTTTCTGTGTCTCGACCTCTCTTGCATGTGAGATCTCTGACTCTCATGTGTGCTGGGGTCCCACACACATGTGTGCATTAAATTGGGTGATTTTCTCTTGCTAATCTGTCAACGTCCATTTGATTATTAGAAGGACCTTGAGGGTAGAGGAAAGTTTGTCCCTTCCCACACTTCCTTCAAACCCCTACGTCCTCCTTCCTTCTGTCCACCTTGCTGTCTCTCAACTTCCCGTTTTAGCCCCTCAGTCAGTTGAACTCTGGTCCCCTAAAGTTCGTTTTGTTTTGTTTTGGGGTTTTTTTTTAAACTAAATACATTTTAATAGAAAACAAAATAAAAAATAACTCTTTTCACAAAACAGAAATATTTAATTCTTTTTCCACAAATTAGAACTTGCTCTATCTTCAAAACAGTTTTATATGCATGCATACATACTTACAATTTGTTTCACAAAATGTTTTCTATTAAACTGCTATTGCAATGCAGGAGGTGGGAGTGGATGGTCGGAAGGAGAAAAAGATGCTGAAAAAGCCACACCTCTGAGTACATGCTCATTTGGAAATTCAACACTTAATAATTCTATCTTTTGACTTTTCGCTTCAGATTATTTTCATTTCTTTACCACAATCTGTCCTTTCAGGGGAGATACTTGCTAATAGAAGTGCAGCCGTGAAAAGGACCTTTCTTTCCCACCATCATTGCAAGAGCCCAAGACTTTCTCAATCAAATCCCCCCACTTCTAGAAACACATCAGCGGGAGTAGCCGATCTGTCACCCAGAAAGTTTCCCTTTCTCCCCAAACACTGTGCTACCAAATTCTCTGAATTTTTTGAATCTCAAAATTCTAAGTGTCATGGCCAGTGCCAGGGGTAAAACTTGAAGGATGAGTGCAGAGAAGACCCTCTGCTAGTACTACGGTTCCCCTTTCAATAACAATAGGGGTGACTGGTTAGCTCAGTTGGTTAGAGTGTGGTGCTGATAACACCAGGGTTGCCGATTCAATCCCCGCATGGGCCACTGTGAGCTGCTCCCTCCTTAAAAGAGTCAACTATGCCATTGTAGCATGAAAACAATGTGTAACCAATGACCATGGCTGTTCCTTAATAAAATTTAAAAAATAAAATAATAATAATAATAATATAATTACAATAACAATAATAAAAAATTCTGTTCTCTGTAATTACGGAAAGTCTTTTTGCCAGGACTTCAAGTGCCTTCAAGGGACTGAGGGACCCCAGAAAGCCACACCTGAGGCTGAAAAGAAAATAGAAGATGATTTGGAAATAAAACTTAATGTTTTGTCCACTCTGATGGGTTTTGGAGACATGAAGACAGTTTCTAGATGTCTTCTCACTCACAAACCTAAAATTTATTTTACAGCCTTTATCAGATTATGCATCAGGACAAAAGAAAATCTTAAAAGTCTCCTCCAGAAATACTGTTAAACAGATAACTTGCCCATTTGCCAGAAACACAATTTAGCTAAATGTAGAAAGTGGATAAACCAGTGACATTGTAGTATTATGTTTATTGAGTCAAGGCTAAATTTTTAGAAGAAAGCTATAAGACCTCTGTTTGTATCTGTATATTTTTATGCTTCTCTGTGTATGTATGTATGCATGTTTATTAAGTTTATGATAAATTTTCCATATTTGGATGATACTACCAAATTAATTCATAAAATTCCTTAAAAGAATTCCATTCAAATTGACATAGAAGTAAATGAGTGCTTCTATAACTTAAGTATTTGTAAAACTCTCAGTAATATAAAAATAAATCCTATTTCTTAAAGAGAACCTTTACTGGGGTAATCGTTGGTAAATAAAACCAGTTTGTTTTTTTAATTTGGGGGAAAATAAAAGCAGGCATGTCTTCAGAGTGTTTTGCATTAACTACAATGTACAGATAAATTTTTGTCTTGAATCCAAATACCTAGTTTTAGTAACTGAACATGTTTATGTTATCTTTACTAAATGTTTAAGATTATAAAACTAGAAATCCAACTTAGAGAATAAATGTACATTAAAAGTGAGTTGTTTGATGTATGCCAAGCATGGCAATAAATGAAAAGAAAATAATAGAAGGGAGAACCCTACATCTAACTTTTCAGATTCTTTACTTGAGTGATTTTTTTTTTGAAATTGCTTAATTGTCAACAAGAAAAATAACAGGATGAGGGAGCGATGTAAAATTATGATCAATTTGCAGAAATTACATGCAGTTTATAGGCATCCACCAATACCTTTGCTTTCTTGTTATTTTGCTAAAATGATGTAGCCACAGAAATGACCAAGATCCTTTATCAAATGAATCTAACCAGATTTGAATAATGGTCATATGAAGTCATTTCTCATTCACAGAAGTTACCGTTTGACACTGAGTTTTCCCTAAATGTTTGTACAGTTAGGTGTGGGCATGAATGCTCCATGATCACACCAATTAAAGTTTGTGACATATGCTAGACTTAGTAAGAATTTTCTGAAGTAATGAAGAGGCTGATTTATTGATCAAACTACTACCCCAAGTTCAGGCAGGACAAGAATTATGTCCATGGAGCTGACTCAACTAATGGAGATAATTACAATTTTTATGCTTTGCTTGAAACATTGCTGGCATTAAATGTTTGTACTAGAATTAAGGAAACATTTATCTCTTAACCTACATGAAACTTACATAAAATTGTAAACAATATCTTTGTGACCTAAGATGAAACAATTATTTTCTCTGATCACTCATGAAATAAAAAATGCTCCATGAGTATTCTTATTTTTATGACAATATAGGTATTTGCATTCATTAAAACAGAATCTGTTCTCCTTGTAACAGGACAGAGCTAGTAACATTGGATGTATCTCTGAGGCTTTGACTGGGTCATTATATTTGAAAATGACGTGCATCAAATCAGATATGATCTGACAGCTTTAAGGACTAAGATTGACTTGGAGAAGCTAATGCTTGTGAAGTGCCCCCGAGAAAAACCAGCCTGTACCCATCTTATTGGATTCCCAACTGGACAGGTCAGTGGGGAAGTTTGCTTTCTGGCAGGCTCAGAACCTTAGAATATTTAAGGGTATTGAGAAGAGAGGAGGTCACCCCAATTCATAGATGTTATAGGCAAAATCTGGTGGCATGTTTCCCTTGACTTTTTACCCTCAGAGGTTCGGAAAAGTTTAATCCTTATGACTCTTTATGAAAAGCTCCAGTAAAGCAAATTCTAGAGACCCATGTGGCCCATCACTAACTTGATGCTATTATGGAAACAATGAAGCCAAGTTTAATGAGACTGGGCTTACTTGCAAACAAATTGGTGTGACTTTGATTCTCTTTAATAGGAAAGGTGGGATAGGAAATTTAGAGAGACGATCGTTTCAATGCAGAACTGTAGTGTGCCCTTGTGGATTTCTCTTGCATATTTGCCTGTCCTTGACACAGTTTGAATTCTTCTAGAGCCTCCAATGTCTAGCTAGAATGTTCCAAATGAACATTTCCAGTTATTCTCTCTTCTGACTTGAAATCATTGAGAACTAAAAGTGTCATTTTGCCAGAGCCAGCCCTGCACATCAAAGCTGGATGATATGCTCTCAATCTCAAAGAAATCACAGCAGACTATGAACAAGCAACCTTCCTCCATATTGTTGTGTGGGCAGCTCAGGACACTGACCCCTGATGTCATTATCACAGACATTCAAACTGGAAGCCACTGCTGTCCTCACTCCTCCAGCTAAATGTGCTTTGGGCCCAACATCTAGAAATCTCCTTGATTGGCTTCCCTCTGGAATAAAAAACACCTGGGTTTTTAACATTAATCTTTGTTTTTCTTTTACTTTCTTAGAATCTCCCTTTCTTTAAATGCCTGATGACTAGCACCATCCAGCAAATACCCACTACTAGCACGCCTCAACAGATGATTCAACCAATCTTTAATTTAAAAAAAAAGGTAAGTGAAAAATAAAGGGGCTCATATTGTTCAAAGTGCAGAAAAATGTTTCTACTTTTCGTGAACATGAGGGGAGACTAACAAAGATTCTTTGTTTGACCAACTTCAGCCAAGACCCTGAACCATTTCTAGGACCATGTGTGCTTTCTTGTAAAACCCTTATCAAGAACCTAGCTAAGCCAGTTTAGCAAGAGTTTCTCACAATCCATTTCTTTTTATTAAATTAAAGTTTATTGGGGTGACAATGGTTAGTAAAGTTACATAGGTTTCAGGTGTACAATTCTGTAATACATCATCCATATATCACATTGTGTGTTCACCACCCAGAGTCAGTTCTCCTTCCATCACCATATATTTGATCCCTTTTACCCTCATCTACCACCCCCCTCCCCCCTTACCTTCTGGTAACCACTAAACTATTGTCTGTGTCTGTGAGTTCTTCTTTATTTGTTTGTCTTTTTCTTTTGTTGTTTTCAGTTTTATATCCCACTTATCAGTTAAATCACGTTTTTTTACTTTTTCTGTGTGACTTATTTTGCTTAGCATAGTAACCTCAAGACCCATCTATGTTGTTGCAAATGGCACTATTTCATCTTTTCTTATGGCAGAGTAGTATTCCATTGTGTATATATACCACACCTTCTTTATCATCGCTCATTTCCAATCACCCTTGAATCCAATTGAGTTTCTCATTCTCCTCCATTTAAGTTCCCTGGTGGTCTAGTGGTTAGGATTCGGCGCTCTCATTCTCCTCCATTTAACCGGGGATGACTTAACTGACTGGCCCACCTTGGCCAGAGTCCTGGTCGACTGTTTTAGCCAGAATCCCCCTTGCTTGATGTTTTCTATTCGTCATTTCCAGTGACCCCAAGGCTTCTTGACTATTAATTCCTAATCGCCCATGTTGTGTTTGGGATTGAGCAAGGTTCTATACTGAGGTATCTTTCCCTGTTATAATATTCCTGAAATAATCTATTTTTATGGCATTAACTACTGTCCAGCTGTGGGTTCTCTGACCTTGGGGTCCATTGCCCCAGCAAGCACAATATGTCCCTTTCTCGTCTGTTGATTCAGAAGCATTAGGAGCCCAGTGTAACCAGGTAGCTTCCCAACTTCTGGTTCAGGGAAATCACTCTTGTATCTCCTGGTGGAAGCATTCTTTCTTCTGGAACTAAGACATCCAGGTCAATAGAGCATAGTGCTGCAGATCAGGAAGCACAGTGCTGCCAGCAGGCACTGAGAAACATGGCGCTGGTGCCCCTCCCCTTTCCACCCTTTGGCTCCAGAACGTCTGAACCCTGGCTGTTAGAGAAACATTACTACTATGTCCTGCACACTGAGTCACCACCAGCCTCCTGGAGAACCCTGCCACATCTAGCTGGCACTGCCCCTGAGTCTTCCAAAGGCCCTCATGCTGCTCTGTCATGCCAGCTGCTCCACATTCATGGAAACAGCGTAAAATGCTAAGTTCCATGACTGTGGGCCCATGGCCGTTCTTCCCTTGCTGTGATTTGAGCTCTGTGATCCAAAGCAGTGCTGAGTGGAGCATTGTGACAGTGGCTAAGGTGGTGACAGTGGATAAGACGGTTACAGGGATAAGGCAGTGACAGTGGATAAGGCATTCTTCAATCTATGGATGGTGGGTTTGACAGTAGCGTTACAGGCAGGCAAGGTGAATTTGTACCAAGGTGAAGTGTCTATTCTAGTGCCATCAAAATGCTGCTCATTCCATGATAAGAAAGGGACAACGCAGTCAGTCTGTCACCAGGGAGCTGGGTCATTACCCTGTGGGATGCAGTTACTGGCAGCTGCTGGAAGGTTGGACTCTCAGCCTTGCTGAGTGCAAGTAGTATTGCTAAGCCCATTCATAATTTCCGTCCATGCATCCACAAATACTTTGTGCTGAGTCTGCTGGAAAATGACAGGGATGGCCAGGGAAAGAGGGAGACTGGTGTCCACTGACTTGTCATCCTGTCCACCTGGTTACTGAAACTCTCCTCTCCTGAGGTCTCCTTTAGGTGAGCATTCACATGGGACATAAAATCTTCAAATACTTTTGCCGATTGATACGATCCACAGAGATATTTTTTTATTTCCATGGTCATCACTTTTTCAGTCATGTCCTTTTCAAGTTCCTGAGCATCAAGACAAGGCATTGGCCATGAACCAGGATATAATCACATTTCTGGCCATTTCTTCTTTCAAGCAAATTGAACAGCCAGACGTACCAGCCAAAGTTCTGCTCACAGGGAGAGTTTTCCGTCACCGCTGTCCTCCAGACGTGCCCCATAGAGGGCTGCAGGACTGTAGCTCTCTACTTACAGGGCCTTCACGTCATGCAAACCCACCATGGAACCAGGCCTGCAACGTGGTGTCCTGTGTCAGCTGGTATGAGGTTGTTGTCCATGAGGCCATGGGTGCAGGTTGAAGGAGATAGGCAGTAATATAAGGTCGCAGAAGTAAGGACATATGAATTTTGGCCACTTCTTCATGTGACGTACTTGTAGCCTGATCACATACATGCCATTTTCATTTTGAGATGAAGTTTCTTTGCACTCCCAACTTTAAGACTTGGTAGGGCAGCTGCCACCCAGTTCATGAGGAGCAGCTTGTCTCATGGTGACTTTATGTTCCGTATTCAAGCATTCAGCTTCCGATGGTCTCAGGAGGAGGCCCGAGTTGTTTTCCAAAAGCAGAGTATATAACTGTAGGTGATAACAGGACCTGACTCCAACATCTGAAACCTGCTTCTGCTTCACCCATAAGGGTTGCCAAAGTCTACAAACAAAATCCCTACCTGTCAATACAACGTCTAGAACCATGGGGTCTGCTGGGTTATGTGGCCCAAGGGGCAGAGCAGCTCTCACAGCAAGTTGGGCCTTTTGTGGAACCTTCTCTTGTTCTGGGCCCCACTCAAAACTAGCAGTTTTTCAGTTCACTCAATAAATGGGCCAAAGTGATGCATGCAGATGACAAAGATGTCGCCTCAGAAACTCAAGGATGCCCCGTAGGCATTGTACCTCTGACTTGGTCATGGGAGAAGCTGGGTGCAAAAACTTATCCTGCACTTTAAAAGGGGTATCTGGGTAATCTCTAGACCCTAGACTCCTAGAAACTTCACTGAGGTCAAAGGTCATTGAATTTTAGTCGGATTTACTCCATACCCTCTGACACACAAATGCTTTACCAGTGATTCTACAGAAGTTGCAATTTCTGCTCATTGGATTCAATCAACATAATGGTATCAGTAAACCATTGTGCAATTTTGGGGAAGGGAAAGGTGACCAAGAGCTCTGACAAAGATGAAATTTTATGATGTAGGTCTGGGGAATTAATATGCCTCTGGAGTGGAACCATTCAGGTATTTGCTGAGCTTCTCACCTAAAAGAATGTGTTTCTGTTGGACTTATGCACAGATTGAGAAATGGGATATTTATAGAGCAGTAGCTGAGTCATGGGAACCGTGGATGCATGAGTTTGCTCAAGCAATGGAACCAATCTGGCAGAGCAGCTACAGCCGGGGTCACCTGTTCGAGAAGCTCCACCATGGTTCTTGGAGGTCCAGCCGTTACCACACATGCTCAGTGAAAGAGCTGATGTGGGTGTGGTGGGACCACTTCTGCATCTGCCTTCCCTTGATGGGAGCCCACAAACCCCCCGGGAATGACTTCCTGGTGTCCTAGGTTGTGGTAGTTCTAATGGCTTCCATTTTACTTTCCCCATCATAACAGCCCTTGCTACTCAGATCAGGGAACCAATAAGGGAGTGCTGATACCTCCTCAGTATTCCTAGAACTTTAGAAATCACTGGAGGATGATTTCAGGGACCCTGTGGCCCCTCTGTGAGGCAGACCTGGGCTGAAACCACCTGGAGGAGCGGACCTCCCATAAGCCCCTCGCCTGACCCGAGGGCTCCAGTGACATTTTGTGTCTCCTGGGAAAATGTCCATTGAGAACTAGTGTCCAGTGGTCCCTGATAGCTCTGATTATTTTCTTACCCCAATGCCCAGTTACCCTGATAGAAAGCGGTAGGTTCCTTTGAGCACGTATAACTTCTGTTGAGTGAATGGGACCCTTCCTGAGTGGGACCTGGTCTTCGCTTCATTCAAGGAGTTCTGTCTGTAAACTGTGCCAAGTCAGGGAATCAACAGAGAGGCAGACTCACTACTTCTGCGATTCACGTTACGTTTCATCACTTGACTGTAAGCTTTCTGCTTACATAAAACAAGTAAGACTTGACTCAGTTATTTATCTTCTTCATGTCTAGGAACACCTGGATTAACTAGCAAATGCCATAAAGCTGCGGGTCAGATGGTTGGGCTCTGCTGTCCATCACAGCCAGTACACCTGCCATGCTGCTAGTGGTTGCGTGCACCAACTGGGCGCCTGCCTCCCTGGGATCCAGCTGCTTCAAAGTCCTGTAGATTCTTCTATTGAGTAGCTACCAGCCCACTCGAAGGTGGGGCCTACAGAGAACAGTGATATTAGACATCTTCAAGGTTGCTGGGGCTCCAATCCCTAATCTGTTTCTCAAAATGCTGGTGAAATGTATGTCTCCTGGATGGTCCCAACGTGGGTGAGTAGGTCTTCAGTGACAAATCCACTCGAACATTCTTTGAATCCATTTATTTATTTATTTATTTATTTATTTAATTTTTTTAGCTGAGCCATCCTGCCAACATGTTGGCAGCTCAGTGGCAGCTCAGTTCGGGCCGTGAATCGAACCGGCGACCATGTTGCTCAGAGCTTTCACTCTTGAGCGAACTCTTAACCAACTGAGCCACTCAGCCAGCCACTTGAATCCTTTTCTTTACATTAAACCAAAGGAGATCAGGCATTTCCATTTCACTTAATGTACATCATCATTTGATCCAGATTTTAGCTAAACAACCCAACAGACTATAAAAGGCCTGTCTGACCTCCTGAGCTGCAAACCTGGAAGCAGAATCGCTGCTTTGTGGGCCCAGAATGATGCACTGGGCCTGACTCCCTTCAGGTTTCGCCATCATCACCCCACACCCTCAATAGCCCTTCCCACACACACTTCCCAGATGGCCTCTTGTATAAGTTAGAAAAACCAAGTAGTTCTTCTGGAGTGTGGCACACCTCCTCATAGGTCTCACTTTGTACCTCACGTTTAGGTGCTTGCTGGGACTCGAGTCTGGTTATAGGTGGCAGCCGCCTTGGGAGTGGCCATTACCATGTTTTTTACGCCATGCAGTGTTCATCCCTCAGGAGGTGTTAAAAAGGTTGATACCACTGCGGATGCTGTCGCAAATGGTGTTGGGGAGGTCACTCCCACTGTGGGTGGTGAGACCACTTCCTCTGGCAGAGAAGTCTCGTCATCATTAAGCAGTTGATATCCCCAGGTCCATAATAATCACCCCACATGGCCCATCCAATATATGGAAGACAGTGCCTCACAATGGATTTCCTGGCTTTAGATGCAGAAATCCTCCTAGTATGGGAAAGTAACTTGCTGAGATTTCTCCAATCACAGTTTGGTTTGTAGCAGCTTCAACCCTTACAGGAGATAAGACTGTCACTCAGGAGACATCTCAACGTACTTAGGTCACCGATGCATCTTGCTCAGGGGACATCTTGATATACTTAGGTCATTGATGCCAGGCATAAGCTGAGAAGTCAAATCCTTAAACTTATCATTTTCTTTCACCACTTTGTCCAAAACGTTAGGAGAAACCAACTAATGACGTTATGTTCTCAGTTTTCTAAGCTGTCCAAATGTATCATGTGTGGTTACTTATCTCTTTCCCTATTCTAAGTCATTGAGTAAAAATACTCAATGCAGATATTTTGTGTATCTCTATGAAACAGTTCACACCATGGGCAATTAGTGTCCTGTTCACTAAGGGAAACAGAGTCATTAGCTTCTTTAAATATAATCAAATTATGTAGCAACCCCAGAATCCCCCAAACCAATACAGAAACTTATATCAAATCCTGTTCCCTAGAACCACTCTTTATTCCAAAATCTGAATCAGGGTTCTCCAGAAAAATAAAACTCATAGATAGGTAGGTAGATGATAGATAGATAGATAGATAGATAGATAGATAAATAGTTAGGATAGATATATAAATGATAGAAGATAGATATATAGATGATAAATGATAGATACATAGAGATAGATAAATAGAAGATAGATATATAAATAGATAGAAGATAGATATATAGATGATAGATACATAGAGATAGATAGATAGATACACAGATAGATATAAGAGGAAATTTATTATAAAAAATTGCCTAAGGCATTATGGAGGACAGAAGTCCTGCCATATGTCTTCTGCTAGCTGAATAACTAGGACAGAAGGTGGTACAATTCAGTCCGATGTCAAAGGACTGAGAACCAGATGATCCAATGGTATAACTACTTGTCTTAAGCCAAAGGCCTAGGAGCTAGGGGCCCTTTGTGTAAGGCCCAGAGTCCAAGACCTGAGAAGCAGGAGGTCTGTGTCCCAGGCCAAGAAAAGATGGGCATCCCAGCTCTAGGGAAGGAGAAGAAAACGGCCCTTCCTTTACCTTATGTTCTATTGTGGCCCTTTTCTGATTAGTTGATGTGCTCGCACATTTGGTGAGGGTGGATCTCTTTACTCAGTCTACTGAATCTAATGCTAATCTCTCCCAGAAATAAACACACACACACACACGCAGAAATAATGTCTTACCAGGTATCTGGACTTCCCTTAACACATCAAATTGCCAATAAACTTATCAGGAAAAGTTCTCGCTTTCTCAACTTGATACTTTAAAAACATACATAATCTTCAAATAAAGAAAATACGAGGCTATAATTCTGCCCTACATGAGAGAAGTATCCTGCTTGCTACTGAAAACACACTAACCTCTTTCTCAGGGAAGAGGGAAAGTCCTTGAGTGATGTTTATACTTCTTCAAAATATCCCATAAGAAATACTATGATGTAAAATTAACAATACATGGGTGCATTGGTTAAAAGTTGGCTTGGGACGCCAGCTCTGCGCAGCAGGGCCCCGGTTCGGATCCCACATGAGGGCCAGTGACACAGCACCCTCTACAGCTCAGATGGTGAACAACAGCTTGACCTGGAGCTAGGCTGTCGTGAGTTGCCAGTGATGGTGTAGGCTGCAGTGGGGCTGGTCGGCAGTGGGCGTGAGCTTTCGTGAGCTGCCGTGAGCCTCTGTGGGCAGCCATCCATGGCAAGTGAGCGACTGTCTCACCTGGGAAGAGCGCAATGATCACAATACCAACATGGGACAGTGAAGCAAATTCCTCCACAACTAGACTGAAGGACAAAAAGGACAGCAACTTGTCTGTTCCCCTCCCCCAATTACCCAATAAAATCTTTTTGTAAAAAATTAACAATACTTAAAAACTGATGTAAATTCAGTATTTCTGATAGGACCTTACAAAGAATAAGAAAGAAAGAAAAGACACTTGCTTAATATATGTATATTTACATGTACACACAAACACATACATAACAAAATAAGGAGACAATACAACAAGTACAGGTCTCCTTTCTGTAACCAGTCATGTGTTAGGAGGTGGTATTTCTAACTACCTTTTTTAACTTGCATTCTAGATGACCTTTCCATCCTCAAGCACCTCATCTTGTCAGAGTTATTTTCCATGTGGGGAGACTCAAACTATTATTTCTGGAGGGTCTGGGCCATTGCTAGTCCTTCTGGGACTGGGTTTTATAGTTTCCCATTGATTTTTTTTTAATTTAAGTTTATTGGGGTGACAATTGTTAGTAAAGTCACATAGGTATCAGGTGTACAATTCTGTAAATACATCATCTATATATCACATTGTGTGTTCACCACCCTGGGTCACTTCTCCTTCCATCACCATATTTTTTATCCCTTTACCCTCTTCTGCCTCCCCTTACCCTCTGGTAAACACTAAACTATGTCTGTGTCTATGAGTGTTTGTTTCTTCATTGTTTTGTCTTGTTCTTTTGTTGATTTCAGTTTTATATCCCAAATATCTGTGAAATCATATGGTTGTCTACTTTTTCTGTCTGACTTATTTTGCTTAGAATAATAATCTCAAGATCCATACATATTGTTGCAAATGGTAGTATTTCATCTTTTCTTATGGCAGAATAGTATTCTGTTGTGTATATATACCACACCTTCTTTATCCAGTCATCTATCAAAGGACACATTGGGTGTCTCCATGTCTTGGCCACTGTAAATAAAGCTGCAGTGAACATCTGAGCACATATATCTTTACAGATAAGTTTTTGATTCATCTTCATCACAGGGGATGTCAGTAATAAGAAAAACCATGGGACTGCCTCCTCCTTATCTCCATTGCAGAGCAGTTGTTCAAGTTCCCTTTGTAGTGACACAGATCCTGCTTCACCAATTTTTAGTCAAGCCCCTGAAACTTTTTCAGTGTCCACCTGTGTTCTTCCTTGTAAAGTCCTTACGAAGAGCCCTGATGAGTCAGTTTAGCAAGTCTGACCTTTCACATCTTATCAGCCTTAAAAACTATTTCGGTCTCTCAGCTTCCACCATCCTTCTGGTAACTACATCTCAGCCTGGAATATCTTCAGCAAGAACCCTGTTAGGTTGATTTGGAGTGACTCTGTGTGTCTCATCCTCCATGTTTAATCACTCTTTTCTTTTTTATTAAAATTTATTGGGTGTGACAATGCTTAGTAAAATTCTATAGGTTTCAAGTGTACAATTCTATAATACATCGTCTATATATCACATTGTGCGTTCACCACCCAGAGTCAGTTCGTCTTCCATCACCATATAGTTGACCCCATTTTTCTTCATCTACCACCCAGCTGCCCCCTTACCCTCTGGTAACCACTGAACTATTGTGTGTGTCTATGAGCTTTTGTTTCTTTATTTGTTTGTCTTTTTCATTTGTTGCTTTCAGTTTTATATCTCACATATCAATGAAATCATATGGTTCTAAACTTTTCCTGTGTGACCTATTTCACTTAGCATGTTAATCTGAAGATCTATACATTTGGTCGCAAATGGCACTATTTCATCTTTTCTTATGGCAGAGTAGTATTCTATTGTGTATATATACCACAACTTCTTTATGTAATTATCTATTGAAGGACACTTTGGCTGTTTCCATGTCTTGGCCACTGTAAATAAAGCTGCAATGAACATCAGAGCACATATATTTTTACGGATTAATGTTTTCAGATTTTGGGGGTATATACCCAGGAGAGGGATTGCTGGGTCATATGGTAATTCTTTTTTTTTAAAGATTTTATTGGGGAATTGGGGAAGGGGAACAGCGTTGGGGAATTGGGGAAGGGGAACAGAGAAGTTGCTGTCGTTTTGTTCTTCAGTCTAGTTGTGGAGGACATCGCTTCACTGGCCCATGTTGGTATTATCATTGTGCTCTTCCTGGGTAAGGCAGTGGCTCGCCGGCCACTGGATGGCTCACGGTAGCTCACGCTGGCTACTGATCACTCACAGTAGCTCATGGCAGCCCACTGCAGCTCCACTGCAGCCTACGATGCCACTGTCAGCCACTCATGGCAGCCCAGCTCGAATCTGTTGTTCACCATCTTAGCTGTAGAGGACGCAGTGTCACTGGCCCATGTGGGAACTGAACTGGCGGCCCTGCTGCTCAGAGCCCATGCTCCCAAGCCAACTCTTAACCAACTGAGCCACTCAGCTGGCCCGTACTTAAGAATATTTTCACGAACCTTTTGGATAACTTGAAACCTTAAAGCTATATTAAGTTAATATAAAGACTGTATCATCACTAATAGCTAGGTGATATTCAAATAAGATAAAATATTATAACATTAATTTCTGAACATAAGTTTATACTTGTCATCTTGTTATTATATAGTATAGAGAAGCTTAACATATTTGAGACTTTTTAAACATGAGAAATTGCACTATGAAAAAAGCATATGAACAAACAATCCAATTAAAAAATGGGCAGAGGACCTGAGTAGACATTTCTCCAAAGAGGACATATAGATGTCCAATAGACACATGAAAAAATGCTCAACATCACTAATCATCAGGGAAATGCAAATAAAAACCACAGCGAGATATCACCTCACACCTGTCAGAATGGCCATCATCAATAAATCAACAAACAAATGTTGGTGAGGATGTGGAGAAAAGGAGACTCTTGTGCACTGTGGGTGGGACTGCAGATTGGTGCAGCCATTATGGAAATCAGTATGGAGGTTCCTCAAAAATTAAAAATAGAACCACCTTATGGCCCAGCAATTCCACTTCCGAGTATTTATCTGAAGAAATGCAAAACACTAATTCAAAAATACATATGCACCCTTATGTTTACTACAGCATTATTTACAGTAGCCAAGATATGGAAGCAACCTAAGTGCCCATCAATAGACGATTGGATAAAGCAGAGGTGGTACACATATACAATGGAGTATTACTTGGTCTTAAAAACAATGAAATCTTGCCTTTTGTGACAACATGGATGGACCTAGAGGGCATTATACTAAGTGAAATAAGCCAGACAGAGACAAATACAATATAACTTCACTTATATGTGGAATCTAAAGAACAAAATAAATGAACAAACACAACAGAAACAGACTCATAGATACAGAGAACATTTTGATGCTTGCCAGATGAGAAGGGGATTTTGGGGGGCTAGGTGAAAAGGGAAGGGATTAAGAAGTACAAACTGGTATTTACAAAATAATCATAGGGATGTAAAGTACAGCATAGGGAATATAGTCAATAATATTGTAATATAATAACTATGTATGGTGCCAGGTGGTTACTAGACTTATCAGGGGGATCACTTTGTAAGTTGTATAAATGTCTAACCACTTTGGTGTATGCTGAAACTAACATAATATTGTATGTCAACTATAACTGACAAATTTAAATTTAAAAAGGCATACACCTCTAGAAAATTACGAAATGATGTATCCATAAATTTGCTACAGAATGATAGCACATGCCAGAGAGTTAACAATTGCTTACTGTCTGTGTTTCTCTGTATAGAAAGAAGAATATTGGCTAAATGTTCTAATCCATACAGGTGAATGAAACCTCCATGACTAGGGAAGGTAAAGAAGACACCTCTAATACAGGGAAAGTAAGACGTGTCTTAAGAGGCGAAGAGTGTTTTTCCCTAAAGTGAATGGATGGTTGTTCCTGAATGAGAAAGAAGACAAGAGTAAGACAAAACCTTAATAGATATAAGAAAAAAAAGTTGCATGAGGATACTGGAAAATAAATTGTAGACAAGTAATCTCATCTTGAATGCTCAAACATGGCTATGATTGGGATATAGATGTATATGATTTTTAAAATTAACCTTACAATTAATAGTATACTGATGCAAAACGAGACTTGGTTCTCTCTCTCTGCTACAGAAACAAAGCTTTCTTAGCTTAGTGGTTCTCTTTTTCTTTATTAAAGTTTATTGGGGTGACAATGGTTAATAAAGTTACATAGGTTTCGGGTGTACAATTCTGTAATACATCATCTATATATCACATTGTGTATTCACCACTCAGAGTCAGTTCTCTATCCATTACCATATATTTGATCCCCTTTACTCTCATCTACCACCCCCTCCCCCCTTACCCTCTGATAACCACTAAACTATTGTCTGTGTCTATGAGTTACTCTTAATAAGAAATTGTAAAAACGTTTTCCTTTACCTAGTAAGCACACTGCCAGAGAAACCAAGATGTTGTGACTTCAAATAATTTCCTGTGCTTCTTATTATATTTATCAGGTAATAATTACTTAAGAAACTATTCTTTAAATATTAAAATAACTAGATGTTTTACAACTATGTAACTTTCTGTATTTGCCCTTCAAGTCTTTTCATTGTCTGTGAAAGATTAGTTAAAGGGATAAACAAGTTGACTTTCACAATGACTGTGACCCTAATTTAGTCAAGTGTTCAAACTTTCGACATTTTTGACACCCACTCCAAATCAAATCCTAAACAGTCTTTTTTTTAGTCTTAAATTAACTTTGAGGTTTCCCAGAGTGCCTCTCAAAATTCTCAGTTATTTTGTTTCTTATGAAGGTGATATGCAAACTAATTGGGTTTTTCTTGGTATATTAAATTACATGGGAAGTATTCTCAAGTAAGAAGTTATACTAACCCTTCTTAGGTTGTGTATGTGTGGATATATGCATATGTCACTAATACAGGTATTCCAAAAATTGTGCGAAGTTCATAGAAATGTGTCAATAACCTTGTCGTCCATTCTGTTGTATGCCACAGAAGTAACTAGTGTCCTTGTTCAATGAACTCTTGTCAGAAGTTTAACCATGGCCTTCTATGTCATCATCTGTCATTCACATACACGTACAGTTTTGTTTTGTTGTTGTTGTTTTGTTTTTTTTGCTTTGGTTCTTCTCTTTAAGTGTTTACAATAAGCTACAGGCATGAACGCTGCATGCTGGTGTAACTAATAACATTGAAAACATGCCTCTGGACTGAGTATGAATTTTCAGAAGTAATAAAGAAACTGATTCATAAAGCTACTAGCATAAGGCCTAACAGAAGAATTAATTGCATAAGACTTAATGAACTGATGAGAACAATTACCCTTTTTAAAATAATTTTATTTAAGCATTGCTGGCTTTTTGTTGTTTTATTTTCCATAGAGAAGAAAAACTTTTTCTCTTAAGTTACATGTAATTTACAGCAATTTGGTATAACTTTGTGAGCAAAGATAAAACAATTCCTTTTTTTCCCTAACTAACCCCTCCAGAACTTGAAAACTCTTAGTGACTTTTATTTTTATGGCACTACAGTTACTTACAGGACCCAATTCAAAACATTGGTTATATTGCCAACACTTCGAATTAAATGTCCTAGTTGAGAATTAAGTACATGGAGTGATATGATCAGACAGGTTTAAGGAACTAAGGTTGACTTTAAGAAGCCATGCTTATAACCCCCCACCTAAAAACCCCAGCTTGAACCTGTCTTACAGTGTTTCCACCTTAAAAGTCAGTAAGGAAGTTCACTTCCTGGCAGGACCAGAAATCTCAGGATAATTTTTGGATCCTCAGAAGAGAAGACTTTACCTAAATGTGTAGATATCGCAGGCAACATCTGATGTGTTTCCTGCTTGGTTTCTTAGCCTTGAGAGACTTTGAAAAATCCAATCTGAGATTCCTTCTGGAAAGTTCCAACAAAGCAAACACAAGAGACCCTGGAAGCCAGTCACTGTCCTTGCTGCACTTACATAAATAAACATACTGTGTTTGTCTAGACTGACTTTGCAAAATAATTAGACTTATTTTGATTATCTCTGATTTAATGGTGATAACTGTAGAGAGAAAAATCATGTTTCAGTGGGAAACTCAACTGTAACCTTGCGTGTTCTGTCTTGCACCTTCTCCCAGTCCTTCACATATCCTCAAGCCTTCTAGTTCCTCCCACAATCTGGCTACAAATCTTCAAATTAACATTTCCATTTTTTCTTCTCACATGGTGTCACTGAGAAGTAAAAATTTTCTTTTCCCAAAACCCTGAAAACTGAAGCTGGATGACGTCATGTGAACTTCAAGAAAATCACCGCAGATCACATGGACAGTTTCTGCTTGTTGCTGGACGGGCCACTCAGAAGCTCATCTGGACACCAATGCCACCACTGCAGAAATTCAACCTGCAAACCAGGAAATTCAGTGGATTGCGCCTCTATATACACCCACCATCTAATGATGCCTCAAGCTCAACATCTAGAAATATCCTCATCAAGTTTTCCTCTGGAATTGGAAACTCGCTTTAATATCCATCTTTGTTTCCCTTTGATTTCCGCAGAAATTCTTTCCATTTAATGTCCTGATGGCTTGCACCATACAGCACATCCCCTGCTGCCAAGTCTTAACAGAGAATTCAAAAGATCCTAACGAACAAAAGGTAACTAGACAAAAATACACTTACATTATTCTAAAAAGAATATCTCTTCTTTTCCTGAAAAGAGGGCAACTAAAAAGGTTCTTTACAAAATATTTTAATTAAAATTATTGAGGAAACATGGGTTCATAACATGACACAAATTTAAGGTGTACCACTTTATAATATGACATCTGTATAGTCTATTGTGTGCTCATCACCTGAGGTCTAGCCTCCTTCTGTCAACTTGTATGTGAACCCTTTACCGTGTCTGTCCTCCCCACGCACCTCCCTCACTGGGCAACACCATTCTGGTGTTTATGCCTGTGAGTTTGTTTTTGGTTTGTTTGTTGCTTTTTGTTTGATATCCCACATGTGACAGAATCTACAGAAGTGTATCTTGTCTACCTGACTGCTACCTACCTCCTCTATGAGGTCACACTGAGCTAAGGATCTCATGACACACAAATGTGTTCATGATTTTGCCCACTGAAAGATATCTATCCACATACCTCTACCCCCAATTTCATTGTCAAAAATTTTCTACTCATGGTTCTTTTAATTCCCGGACAATTGATCCAAAATATTGGCCAAAGCCTATGAATTAGCCCATAATTACATAAAGGGCGAAAATTTTTTTTTAATTTTCGTAGAAGTCTCAGCTGTATAAAACATTCTAATACACATTTACACCCCTCACAAAGTGATAAAAACTCTTCCCCAATCTACTACCCATGTGACATCATATACAGCTGTTATAGTTCTAC